GCTAGGGAAATGGTATAGTTTTGTTACTGATAGTAGCCATCACAGACCGGCGGTCATTTTTCAGCTATAGTACGTTAGCTTGAATAATAGACGAACATCATGATAAACCTTAGATAGTATAATGAATTGTCAAACCGTTCTAGGGAACAGAAAAAAGTCCCCTTAAGTATTACTCTTATATATATATATATATATATATATATATATATATATATATATATATGTGTGTTTGACTGATATTGCTGTTTTAGTAAACGAAACATATTCAGTTTTTTTAGTTTAACGCAGGGCGTTAAATATGCGGACAACCACTGTATGATAGGTAACTATCCTTCATTCGCAATTGCCCTTGGAAATCGTATATTCACCAGTCACTTTCTTCTGACTTTATCATTTCTTAGTGCCTTCTGATGGTATACTGCTTTGGGGTCTGCCCATAGCTATGCAATAATAATTCAAGGCGTTACAACGAGTGCCTGTCGCTGTTTCCTGCTGACATTCTTTTTACGCCATCACCGATATCTTCAACTGGATTAAGTCCATTTCGTCAGACCCCCATTTTGTTCATGTCGGTTTTCACGCTGGGTTCATGATCTTTACCAGTTTCCCGTATGAACTACTCTGTGTATCAACGTTTGTTAATGTTTAAAGTAAACTGTGGTATCCTAGTTACAATCAAGACATTTTAATTATAATTATAAAGTGAAATCTGCGTTTGTACTGCATGCATAGAGTCAATGTGATCAACATACGTTTGCTTGCATAGAGTGCCACAAAGGCCGATTAATTGCGATAGCATTATGAACAACAACATAGCAAAAACACACATTTATTTTATAAATACAGGTATATGCAGCCGTACGTAATAATAGTTATAACGAACGAAATTCTCTACGAAGGTTTCTATTTCTTGATAGCCCTATGCACAATTTGGATACTACCGTAGAAATGAAGCTTAAATATATGTAGTAGACTGCTTTAATGATCTCGTTCAATTTTTAGTTGATAACGCTGAGGCTTCTTCCGCTACTCTTTTCAAACTTATTCTGTTATTGCGAGTGTTACAAAGTCCAACTATCTCGGTGTGTAAAAAGCAAAAGAAATCGACCACACTTCACACTTGCTCTTTTTGTCTCTGACTGTTTATTTCATATATTCTACTGGATCCCAGATTTCCCGAAGCTATCGCTGAGACGAATAATGGGTTCACACACTTCCTTCAGTTACTATTGCATACGCATCGATAATAATAATAATAATATTAATAAAATATAATAAAAGTAATGTTTAAAGGGTTCGATTGGATATTTCGTCGTTAGGAAATATTTTTGAGCCTTGCGACTTCTTGGTTTGTCCGGAAACAAGTGATATTACGATTTTTAAACTGTACAACACAATGATGAAAAATACGTTATAAGTACAACGTACAATACAAAATTGAAGGTAGATCCGAAGCGATCTGCACTCACCGGACTGTGGAATTTCAGCATTTATCTTGGTCTTAAATTAGAATTCAAGATTTTGTCTGGCATATTGTTTTTCATATACAATAGTCACTGAAATACATGGAGATTTATCAACTTTAATTACTATTAAAGTTAATGATTAATGAACACGAACGTAAAAAACGTGTTTCTTAGAGTTGGAATTATATTATATTTTCATATGAAATACCTAATAACTTCGACTTGTTCGCTTTAAAATATCTTTCTAGGTCAGACCTCGGAATGAAATCCCGTTGGACTTCACTACTTCGAAAGATGTAAGGGCTGGTTTGTGCACTTGTCCATGTGTGAGTTGTCGAAGTTGAGGAAATATGAAACTCTGAATTCATACATCAATTCACAATCGAACGAATGCTCGTTTAACATGTTAACCAAACCCCAAACTTGGCATAGTCATACATACGACATATATACGACTTATCAAGCAGAATGTACTGTAAGTCAAAAGTATTTATGATACATTTAAATAATGGGTAAAATAATGAACTAATGCGGTATCTACATCAGTTGGGTATGTTTAAAAATGTACGTAATCATCCATGATCTATTCGAGACACGCAGATATGTGCTGTTTATGACGCTTAAAATACCATGTCTTACTTACATAATTTAGCGGATCGGTATGAACTTAGGTTGTAGGGTAGTTAGCCCATTGACTGCCCTATGATATGATAACCTAACTGCTCGCCATTCTAGTGGGTTAGGTCAGGCTTAAATCTTTCGTCGTTCAAGCGGACCTCGTTAATAGGGATCGTTTCTAAGATTCACTTACCAACTGACGTACAGCTTCCTGTGAATGTCTCTATATAGTCATCACAAAACTATCTGTTTGCCAATTATCATAGTGGTAGGCCACCGACTCTGTCAAGGCTTTGCTCGTTAGGTAACTGGTCACGCATCTATATGTAGAGTCAGGGTTCACGTACAACGCATTGACAGTTACACTGGCTGCCCACTGCAGGAGCAGAAAACAAGCGAAATCAACATGAGCAGTGTTTGCATTTTGAAGTAATCTGCAAATGGTCATATTCAAGCTTCACTTGAAACGCGACTTTTTACATTTTCATCTCACGTCAAATAGCCCGTAAGGAAGGTGTCTGCATCCACATATGACACAGTTCCGATTACTTTGTATAGAATTTAACTATGACGCCAAGACGTCTGCTTCTGCATACCACTTTCAGTTAACAATAATAATAATGACTAAAGCTCATTGTTGTCATTATAGTAGTTTGCTGGCGAATTGCGAACAGCAGTCGAAATCAAATGTTATGCACATGAATCAATGCATCGGTTTGAGAAGAATATAAAAAGCAATAGCAATAATTTATAGCACCTAAATGAACCAGAAGATCGCATAATACAACCGAACAAAGTATACTTACTCGTTACCATTATGAAGCATGCTCATGACGTAGCCAAGAAAAACTATTTTCAGTTTGAAGAAACGTTGGTGTTCGGTCTACCGGATCTGACCCACCGAAACGAATCCCCTCTAACATAGCCTATAACGGCTTGTAGTGAATTCTTTTTATCTTCTACATAATTCGGGGGCTATTTTACCCATTATTTTTCATTTAATTTCCTCTGCATTGCTAACAAGAACACTTTTTAGATATAATTTTTGCATGAAACAGGTTGGAAGTTTGCAGCAGATAAAATTATATGGCCATGACGACTGTACAGTAGGTAACATTATGTTTGCCTCGCAGAGAAGTGCTTTTCTTTTCATGCGTGTTTGTTGTGTGCTGTGTAGGGACACACGCTTGGTCATAGGCCCTTGAGATGACTTTTTACATTCTTAAACATGAATTTTAAGTTTTTACGGGATTTTTTTTTTAGACTAAGCCGGATACCAAAGGATACAAACAAAGCCGGACACACTCTGCCATTTAAATTACATATCTGTATATCTAAGTTCTAGGCCTAGGAACTGAAGGTAGCGCGACCGAGTAACAGGAGCCGAGGTAATCTAAAGGGATTTGGATTAAGATTATGGGGACATATAGCACATCAAATTTAGCTAAAGCTCGTCACAGCATTTGCTTTTTTATTGGCTGCGGCACACTCCCATGTCTCCGCCCATCATAAGTAATGTTTAAGCTTCAAGTGCTGAATATGTACGTGCCTAACTAAGGTCGTTCAGTAAGTCAAGTGTGCTCCCTTTAAAAGTTTCATTGAAACTTTCGAATCGTGTATTAAATCCATAGTTTAACTATACGATACTAAATATTTCAAAACTATACAGTCTCTTAAGGTATCCTAACATATTACAATGTTACTTCGCCTTTAGAGAAAGTACGTCCATGGAGATCCTTGTGAAAGGTATTTACCAAAAAGTCACATTGGTGCTTTGAACCGTCGATCGTTCGTGGGGTCATCTTTAATTCAGAAAAACCTAAATAGTCGAAATTAACTTTGCACACACACATACTCGACTTGTGTTAAAACGAAAGTCTGATTTTATGACTTTACTCTAAATATATCATATAATTAATCGAGTTATTACTATATAGATATATACATATATATATTTTTTTTAGTATGGTTTTGCACCTATTGCGCGTTGAATGAAGCGAGAAACTCTGTGCCAAAAATGCTCTCAAATGGCATGGACAGTGAGAACTTAGCGAATCTTTGAAAATTTCATTTGATGCTGGCCAGTTAGTAATGAATTTATTGGTAGATTAAAACACAGAATATATACGGCATTGGACATATATGCTAATAAATGCAGCTTATTTTAGAAGGCTAGTACGTTATATTATCATTATTGCATATTATATATGTTCAAGTTCACATCAAATCATACAATTACGTACACTTTGGAATGCTCCAGTCTTAAAGCCTGTGCTTCTTTATCCAGGTGCGTATCTTGTAAAAAGGTAGGATATTGACAACGATAGCACGCAACTGACGATTATCCAACTCTACTGCTATAATAAGAAACATTCCAAGGGCTTTTCATTGACCACTTCATAGATATAACTTAATAGACATAACAACACCATTGTAGCTAAGTTAGAGCACGATTTTTGTGTTATCATTGTCGTTATCCGTATGGCGTTTGAGAGACTGTCGCGAGAAGACTTCGTTATTAACGCGTAGTCGAAGCTTACGTCAACAAGAAAACCAAACCAACCAAGCAAACGTAGAATATATTCTAAGATCAAATACAGTTGATACTCTATGAAAAGTCATTTTAGTATGGATGAATGTACCGTAATGATCAATTTTCATGAACCAGGCTGCATTCGTCGTTCATGGGACTTCCTGTTAGAGGTCAAAATCAGTGTTACATTTTTTGTAGCGCTAAATAAATTTATATATTAGACGAACATTAGGTGTTAGTACTATGCGATACTCATACTCGCATACATTTCAACATATGAACGATCATGATCCATAAAAATATTATCTTTTGTTTATTCGCAAAGGAATAGATCCGTGCCTGGTGTTAGAGTTTGTAGATGATGCGTGTGATTACAGACGAAGTTACACCGGTGGCCAGACTATCTACACAATGTCTCAGTTTAGACTTCCGCTTCCCATACTGATACGTGTTGTGATATTTGCATTCCTTAGATGAGCACCTATGCACCTATCTATGAATTCTGAAGTAGGTACCCCACTGAAAAACAGACTCTATGAAAAGGTATTGTATAAGAATGATGGTTGGCACTTGAAACGCCTTAGAGCTGGCAATGGCCATTCGTTAAGTACAAAAGGTCTACGAGCACCGGACGTTCCAGGTTGATCCAGCACAACAAGCACGTGAGTCTACTATAATAATCGATTTGACAATCCGAGTGGAACACGATTCCACCAGGGGTTTAAGGATCGACGGGCCAAAATTAATATTTCGTTGATAAATATGGGTCAATATATTTGGTTTGGTTATTTACTTGCTTACCTAATTCTCATGGGATACGGGGCCATAAAAATTACCTCCTTAAGACATTTATGGTCACTCCAAGGAGACTCAAAAGATGACGCTTCCAATATAGCATAATATTCAAGGAAATCAGAAGCAACGCATTGAGTAAATGAATAGTAAGACATTAAGCCGGACATTACAGGTTAAAAGTAGGACATTGTAGCATGGTTAGTATCTAAATAGTTTTTCTTGTTTTTACCTACCGCAGTGCAGGAATCTATTTAAAGAACAACAAGGCTAAATGCGCTACTATAGCCAACGTCGAATCTTACCAAGCGAGCTGCTTTCTTTGTAAGTCAACATTCCAATTTAGATTGAAAGCAGCTTGTTGGTGCTGGAAATAAAGAAGCCATCATACCTATAAAGTAAGCAATAAATACCGACAGATTCTATGCCTTAGTTAAGAAATAATATTACGTTCTGCATTATTGTTGAAATCTGACGTTCGAAAAAGTTTATTGAACGATCGCAGCGCCGCATAATCTAAAGTACCCTGAATTAATTTTACTCCGCATTTGTTATGTAGGTTCTCGAGTTATAATAATCGTGTTCCGTAAACAAGGAGTGTCTTATGCACTTTAAAGACAAAGCATAAAACTTCCGATTCATAAAAGATAGAGTTTAGCTCCTTGAGATACTTGATCGCCCTTAAAAAACCGAAACAAACACAAACATTTTTATTCTAGTATTTTACCTCCCATAAGATTACTGCATGCTTTGGCATTTTTTTTTTGTAGGTTGAGATGTTAAGCAACGGGCAAGCAAGCGGCACAATGGCAAAATCACGAATAAATATGGAGCCCCTGCAGCCAGCATTAGGGAATATAAACCAGGGTATGTCAATGGGACAAAGTGCTTCCGTGCATGGAACTACTAAGACCAGTTTGCTATATACTCGTATTAAGCGATATCTTTTGGAATCGAGAACTGTTTTACTATTGTATTATTTATATGTTATAGATTATTTTCGACCTGCGATATTTTTTTTTTGAGAAATTGCGCACATCGGACATACGAACTTGCAGAACGTCGCAGTTGAAAGCTTGTAGGTGATAGATTTTTATATTTTTATATGTAATTTGGGCTAAATCTTCCCACTTTCTTTTTTGCTCAGACAGAAAAATTGGGGATTCAGCAGTTCCTACATATTGCTACACGTATTACCGCCAGCACCATGATTATGTCTACCAGATCATCTGGAGAACGGAATGCAGACTGTAATGTAAATAACTGTGGATTTCGATTATGTTTTGGCATAGGCCTAGAGCCTTTTTTCTGAATTGCTTGGGGTTAACTTGGCTCAAATTGGCCTTAGGATCAAGCCTATTCAGAATCAAATTACGTTCTGTCTTTATCCTACCAGTGACTTTGGGCCAGTCTTATAATTACTTTATTTAGATGGCGATCTTTTTACAGTGATGTAATATGGGCAGAGTGTGTAGCAAGGACGAAATTGGATTAAGGTTTGTTACACACATTGCCGAAACTAATTAAACAACTAACAGAAGAGACATCATACAGGGTTTCAATGTCTTTCCAATTCGCTTACTTTTCATTTTTTTGCTTTTATGCATATAGCGTGAATCTGGAGAGAAGCTGAAATAGAATGCATTATTCATTTGTTGTTTACGAACCCTGCCTAAGTGATCAAGATCTCTAGGCTATCGATCACGAATATCATTAAGAAAGCAGGCACGCCGGAACCTCTGTTAGTCAAGGTGCTAGGCGGCGTCGGACTGAAAGCTACAGAAGACGCGAGCAAGGTGTTTAAAAATTAAGAAGTAACGTTGTACATAAAGCCAAGCTTAGGAAAATTTGACCCGAGGGACTAAGGACCCAAAGAGCGCAAGAAGCGCGGACGTTGGACAGAGACGTGTAAGGCCCCTTGGAGGGATTCCGGCGAAGAGAACGAAACCTCGACAATGATGAGAGAATGAACAAAATTGTACCGCTTAAGATCGTACTGATGTGAAGCAGTGCTCAAGCGCTTTGACTTGCAAGTGAAGTGCAGGGGCATATGTCATGGATCAAATATTAAAGCGCGGGCCGAAAAATAAAATGGCCAGCTTTTCACCTCTACAATAAAAATTCTACACATGTCTTTCTCTGTCGGAAAAATGTCTGACGATTCGACCTCGTTGATCGTTCGATGGTCGCCGAAGGTTAGTACACTGCCTTAAACGTAAGGTTTTTTTTAACTTGCCAATTTTTAGGCGCAAAGTGTCTCTACTGTTTTTGTAAGGTTTTTGAAGAATTTTTGTAGCATTTAGGACCGAAATAAAGTTGATTTTGTGCGCATGTAGAAGGAATTCCACGTAGCCCTCCCACACGCTCTTTTCCACACCTTAATGCAGTTATTGAAGCCAGCATAAAGAGTTGCGACGCGGGTGTAGAATAGGTGTAATAGAATTGCTTGACACAGTTTTCTTTAGTTTATTATATACGAATCAATGTTGCACTTAATTTTCATAAATATTCATTCTATGACAATTTTTCGATGTAATAAATATAAGTGGAAAGTATGTGACGTGTGTGGTCTTTCTCTACGCTTTTTTTGTGTTTGTGTACCGGGGGGTGTGCTGTAAGCCACCACACACACACGCATCCATCATATAACAGATGACAATTTAAGAGAATGTATGTATAAAAAATCAGTTGAAGTTTTATGTGAACAGCTACGTCCATCCCATAGGAAATCAAATAGCGTTGAATTCTACGAAACAGATTGTGATAACCGTTCCGGCGGTAGTGAGCTAGGTCAATCGTTCGGTGATTGAATTAAGTAACTACTTACGAAATTATGGCACTTTTCACGAATTTGGTTGTTATGTGGATTCAACCCCAGGACTTAATCAATAGAGTGATTTTACTTAACAATATAGTTGGATTAGAAAAAATAGTATCTATGCTGGACTGTAATTCGACCAGGTTTGGTTGCCAATAGCAAAACCTTGCTTTGAAGGGAACTTTGACAGACATACAAGAATATCAAATAATTGTCTCACACTTTGTCATAATAACTATGCTATATCGATAATTAACATTTGGTCAATAGAACACGTAAATTAATAACGAGATATCGATAGCCAAGGAAACCGGAATGGAATTCTTTCAGTCCAACGAAGAACTTCAATGAACTCTAAAACGTTCCATATTTGAAATATGGAACATTTCATAATCTTTACGAAAAAAAACAAAAAGAATATGACATGAAACGAGGATTCGTGAAGGATGGCCGGTAAATATTGCAAATATATTTTAAAGTAAGTTGTAAAAAATAATAAAAGTACATACCATCAACAGGACAATCAATGTAAAAATGAAAAAGTTAATGCATACTTGGCTCAGTTTTATGGATGCAGTCATAGAGCGCGGCTGGCGTTCAACGGGTTGTCAACCGCTTAGAGTTGAAATTTGGCGAAATCGACAAGAACTTCTATAGTAGCGAATCGAAACGGTAAAGCGGTTACAAGTGTTATACCGCGTATACTTACTGTCTCCTATCGTAATTTGACCAGTTGGAAATATTTAACTTAAGCTTGACGTGTTACATAGATATTGAAAATGTATCGCATGCATATTAAAAGGGTCATTAATATTATGGATAAAGTTACATAAATAAATGATTTAAATATCGTTTCTATGAGTTTTGCAATCGTAGACAATATTGCCTTTATGTTTCGAGTTTTAAGTCCGGTATCGCCGTTAGGCTTCTCATCTCATGACCGGCTCCCAGCACGAAAGGAAGCCTGTCTATGCTCGAGCTCGAGCCTAGACCATACTGTGTCCTTAATATTAGTGTGCAAGTACGTTACCTACTAAGCTATTATGGGGACAGGCAATATTGCCTATTGCAGGTGTATTGAATATATATATAGCAATTATAAATACAAATGGCTTATTATGACAGTCTAGGCCATTTAGTAAGTACGGTGGTAAAATATTTAATCATGATAGGCCAGCGTTTACAGCTTTGTAATAACATGGATGCAAAAAAAACTTTTTCGATGAGAAGCCATATGCATGACATCAGGACCACGATGGTGATAATAGAGACTTACGTTTGCGCAGTGTGCTCCTTGGCAGACGGAAAAAAGCTGTATATTAAGGATAACTGGTCTACACGACCAACCTTGGGTAAGTCGTTCAGAAAAATTTATAGAAATATATCGGTATTCTACTTGGTGAGTCCTGAGTACGCCGTTTTACGTGAGATTGAGACGAACTTCGCTCTTCTTCATGGAACAATAATTATCATCCTCCTTTCCAGTGATTGGTTTTCTGTGTACGTCGATACACATATATGGTTTAATATTATTCTTGCCATACCCTGCAAAGCACTAGTTTATAAAGAACAATTGATTATAGTCGATCAATGCATTTAAAAAGACAAAAAAAAGCAAAGAAGCACACTGCTTTAAACAAGAAAAGCTTATGGTAAAACTAACGACATTGAATTGCGAACCTAATAAGGATACTTAATTGTCAAGATTGACTATTTTATCCCTTATCAGTGAGCCTTAATTTAGGATCAGCTTTACGTGCAATGGACTACGAAACTGATCTCCAATTGATAAATCGTTAAATCAATAATATTGCACAGTTGTTACTTAGCGATGTTTTAATGTCAGAAGATTTAATATAGTTGAAGTTTAATGCTGATTGAGGTAACTACTTTCGATTCTGGATTTTATTAAGGACTTTGACTGACATTATGGAAAATCTCGTAGAACAGATCTGAAAGTGATGTTATGTTAACGATCATTGCTTTTATTTGCTTGTCTTCCAATGAAGATTTTGGGTCGTCTTGTGATGATCTAAGGAAATCAACTATCCATCCTATAGAGGTTGAGAGCTATGCGCTTGTTAATTTCATGTTTAGAGTGTAGAATTTTTCGCCTATGTACAGTTTCTGACTTCGTATCCATCCGGCTATGATATGGTATTACATTAACGATAAACATTTTATTTACCACCACAGATATCGGCAATATGACATCGAATCTCATAAGAAGTTCTTTACGACACGACTCGCCTGGTAATCGTTTAAAGCCGCGGCTAGTGTTAATTGTTAAAAAATAATTTTCACGAAGTAAAGATGTCATTTACCGATTCCTCAAGTTATCAGAGCACTTACATAAGCCGGAGGAATTTAGCTGCTTACTTTGATTGAGGTTCCTTCTAGATTGAAGATGCAAGGCAAGGCAGTCGACTTTTCTGGAAGTTAGTTTAAAATTTAGCTCTCCTGAGCTTTCAAACACTGTAAAAATTTAAATCTTTTACATATTTAAGTTGATAGTATAAGAAAAAAAAGTTGTTTAGACATCTGTTGTATTTATAGTACGGTGATCTGTCGACAAATAGTCACGTACGGCATCTCTATATTTTGAATTTGTTTGATTCTAATGTTTATCTCATTTAGCGATTAAAAACAATTGTGAATAAACTGTAAATGGTTATACAAAATTACATCTTAAATGTTGTGGATCATATATGTATAAAAAAAAAAATATATATATATTTTTTTTTTTATACATATATATATGATCCACAACATATATATAAAAAATACATAATTTAAGCGTCCAAAAAGTTCTGAGTCAAAAATGATTCGCTGACAGCGCTTATTTTTTTTTCAAATCATGCTTGTATCTGTTTAACCTAGTTCAGCTATACACATTCCTCATTATTATTTTAACGATCTGGAGTGCCATTTGGAAATATACGACTTGTTAATATTCCGTTGCATAGATCTACCGGTCAGATTAATTTAATGTAGAAAAATACACAATATATATACACGCACTCATTGAATTTTCATGTAGATTATAAGCTTCTTGGATCTCCCCCAAATTGACAATGTGCCGCGTCTCAAAACCAATGTGCGGTTTCAAAACAAGCAACGCCAGCTTTCAGTACAGTACAACGGTAAATCACAGGGCGAACTTTCCAAGTGATTGCTGCCGCTCCGAAGTGAACATCTGCTGATCGTCCCCTCAAGACGAGGCGTTAAGGAAGAAGTTCAATATGACTAAGCGTGCGACATTACTGAGTGCTCACGAAGATCTTACCTAGAAGAACGTAGACAGATGTTGTCTGATAAAACCAAGATATTTAATCAGTGTTGTTTTCTACTAAATTCATTAATGAATAAAGCATTAGGTCGTTTTCGACTTTTTTCTAACGAAACATTTCTTATCCTCGATGCAAAAGTGGTGCGTAGAAACGAGTGCCGTCTTGCGCATGGTTCAGAAGATGTGTAGTTTGAAGCGAATTTTCGGCAGAACCTCCATAATCTAAGTGTGGAGTCCGGTAAAAGAGAGGTCATGTCACCACACTTCTATCAGAAAGACGAGGGCATCACTTCAAAGGTTTGTTTTGATGCTGTACAAATTATGCAACCTCGGAAAGCTAAAGTGTTTGAAGAAAGATTATACGTTTTCTAACCAGATGGTGCACCAGCTCACACAGGCATATTAGTGCAGACTGCTTAAGTACACCAGTATTCTGTAATGATTATATATAGTCACTGAATAGTTTAAATGTTGAACCCATTGAATTACTCTACATGCGTTGTTCTGCCAAAGCTCGAAATGTTTTGATGAAGTTATGACAACATTGATTTGCTTACTCGTGTTTTTGTCAAGAACGCGTTCGAAGACTAGCGAAGCGAGCAAGAGAAACGGGTCCATTAGACATTTAGAACCCAAGTTGAAGCAGTAATCGCGGTGGGCATTGAATGAGTATGAGCGTGAGAAATTAAACTTCATTCAAATTTTGTCGAAATAGCTATTTTTACCTAAATAGAGACTCAGAGAAAAAGAGCTGCCGGTGCGCCTTTCGGCGCAGTTCCGCGTCATTCCGTCTCCAAGCATTCTCACTCCCGGAAGACTTTTCGGGCAGTACGATTCCATAGACGAAGACAAATTTGAACAGGGCCTTAAATTTAGACTTTTGTCGCTCGTGTATATGTTGAGCGAAAGCGTCACCCGAGGCAGCAAATTGTGCTGTAGCTCTATGCCACCAAAAAAAAAAACGTTTTTCTAGAATGGTGTGGATCATGTGCTCAATTATGGTATATAAACTTACCTATACTTGTGCATGTATACATTTTCCACCCGAGATGAGCGACTGGCCAACTGTTTTGCTGTCATACTCTCCAGCATTACTGTGTCTGCCTGCCGCCATCATTGGTTTCGATCTTATTACGAGTGCTGTTCGAGGTGATTATTCGAGCAACTGGTTATTGCGTTATTATTATCAAAAATTAGGCAATATCCATGTAGAACTTGAAACTCTGCCGATTTTTAACCGGTCGTCCAAGTCACCGCGTCGGCAGTCATATGTTAAATATTAATACTATTACGATCAAAATTTCAATCCACACAGAATGAAGCACACACCCCTTACCAAAAAGGCAACGTAAGTTAATTATCAAAACATAAATCTTAAGAATTTATTATCTATATGCACTAATTTGTAATACTAAGTCAGATTGTACTGTATAAACTATTTTAAACAGTTTTTTTTTTATTGAACCGTCATCGAATACTTCATTTTGTTATTTGACTGAATTTGAGTAGTGCAGTTCGCTGATTGCGGAAACAGGGCTGGACCCTAGCAAAATACCGACGTTCGTGAACATGATGAGCAGTAACACTTGAGAAGCTGAGGTGCCACGGTGGCTGGCATTCATCAGGTTAAGCATGAGGATCCGATTGCGCCTTTGGCCCTGGCTGTGAATAAGATCACGAGCGATCTACGGCTCCCCTGAGCTGCGCACGCAGTTGAGACGGGCTGATCTGCCAAGGACACTAGCCAATGCAAACTGAACTGGTGCTACGTTCCGTGTAAAAACAAGGTAGCCTAAACAGGTCTATCACAGCATATTGCTCGTCGGTACTAGGTTGGACTAGTGATCATAGGCGGAAGCCATCCAAGACAATGAGCCGTTTTGACGGCAGTTCCGATAGCAGCGAACCTTAAGCATCTAGTCTCAAATCGTGGTGCATAAGACCGAAAAAGCCAGCGCAAGTCACGGACTTCTTAACCGTCGGAAAAGTTCAAAATTGCTATGAAGTTGTTCCTTGACGGATGATAGCAAGTAAAAATAAATCTTAAGTCACGCTTTGCTGAACACACCGATTGCGTGGAGACTTTTCCAGTCGTCGGCTAGACATTTTGCGACGGAGTATGGCGTGTCCCTCAGTTAGTTTCGTCAGGCGAACCCCCGTAGGATAAAAACTTCAGCATCGGAGGTTGAAATTCCCTTTTTTCCAACAAAGTAAGGGGTTCTACTGTGTCCAACCAATATTTAATGTAGCCTTATTGGTGAAGTAAGCGTGTAAATGATATAATTACTGTAAATATACCTCCACTTCCGGCTGGCGGTGGATAGATCACATTCCTCCGCCCACTAGCCGATCACCAGTTCTAAGCGGTCGAACTTTGTCATTGCTGTGGCACCTAAAGGAAAACTTCCTTTGTATGATTGCGTAGCCAATATCCCGAGCCTGTTATCATTTTTACTGGATGTACTCACTAGCTTCCGCAGATGTGATGTTGTACGGACAGGCAATATCAATAAAACCTTTTTTACGATAGACGTAGGTTTCAACCAAAAAATTAGCCGAGTTTCCTGTGAATGAAGCCGCCCTTATAAATATTGCTGTCTGTCCTATTACAGTAAATTCGTTCGGGGTAAACGACAGCCAGCGTAACATAATCACGATGATCCACGAGCGCGTTACAGCTTGACAGTAGAGTCTGTCTGAAATCAG